TTTGTAAGATTGTTTAGGTTAGGTTTTCCTTTCCTATCTTCCGCAACAATCTTTTGTATTTCTGTGTGTATTAATTCTTGATATAAATCAATAAGAATTAAAAAGTTGAAAACAATCTGTGTAATTATATTCAACCCCCCCTTCTACAATTACTTTCTGTTTATTGTCTTACCTTTCGGGACTAACAGTATGCTATTTAGATCAATTTGTTACATACTTTTTGAAAAATAAGAGATGTTTTCGAACTTTAGCCTTTGAATTTTCGCCCCATTTTCAAGTTTACATCTTTTGAAAGGTGATGCAGAGATGGAAAATCTGGCTTTTGCTCTACTCCTAACCTAAAGACAGACTCAAGAGTGGATTTCTTCTTCCAGGTGAGGTCTAGGTTTGTATAACCTATCCCTGCTCTATCTTGTTGAGAATTAATCTTTTCATACACATGCTGAGCATCTTGATATCTTTTAATCAAGAGCTCTTTTCTTTGTAAGCTCTGGTGTAGAAATTCCCTTTCCTTTTGCAAATAATTTTTTAGGGCTTCAAAGTTTAGTCTATCACGTTCCTTTTCTTAAAGCTCTTTTTCCTTCTTTTGTATCCGCTTTTAGTTCAGAGCACTCTGATTTAAGACTTATTTCAGTGGAACGTTTTGTTTTCAAAAAAAATTTCATTTTCCACTGACAGTTCTTGTTTTTCAACAGTTAATAGCTCTGTCTCACGTTCAAAGAATAACTTTTCTTTTTCCAAAGACTTTTTTATAGATTTTTCGACAGAGAGTTTTTGCTGTAGTTTTATGAAATTGTTAGTTAAAGCAGAGATGTTTTCTTCCAGATCGGAATGAGAATAACCAGAGATAGAACATACCTGGGAGTCGGAGCCAGATCTGGACTCTTTTGTGTCATTCTCAACAGCCATTCCATAGAAATGGGCTTGGTCTTCTTCTTCAGATGAGGAGTCAGAGACCCAGTTCTCCTGTTTAGCCATAAGACTCCTTTGGGATCGATTATATATGTACTTATTTTATAGTACAACTCATCTTTCACCAAAGGGCCTTTGCATTCTTTGGAGTAATGTCCCATCTTCCCACATCTGAAACATCTGACTGTTTGCTTTTTCTGTTCAGACTGCTCTTCCTCCTTCTTGTTTGACACAGATGGAGGGTTCCTTCCTTCGAAAGCTCTGCTTCTGTTTCTATCGCCTTGTCTGCCTCTTTTGTCAAAGGCTTTCTTCCCGAATTTCTTTTGAAATTCCTTGGTAATCAAGGCCAAGGAATGTGTAAAAGCACTAATGTCGTTGTCTTCAGAGCTTGATGCTCTGTCTTCTTCATCGCTCTCCATAATAAGAGCTTTCTTCCCCCTATCTCTTTTCCTCCTTTGATCTTCTTTCTCTGTGTAGTTGACTGGATCCAGTCTCTTTTGAGTCAGAGACAAGAGCCAGAGGTCCACCCAAAGCGACCTTGGCCTTTTACACTTCTTGCTCCTGTGCTTGCAGGGTGCCATACACATCATGAAGAGTCCATTGCTCCAGATTTTGGTTTGCCTGGAGAGACAAGGTCAAGTTTCCCCATTCGGCATTCAACCTCTTCAAGAAGAGCATATTGTTTTCCTCTTGAGTTCTGATCACATCACATTTTCGACATTTGTTGATCAGCGTTTTGAATCTGTGATAAGTCTGCTCTAAAGACTCATCAGGAAGAGCTTGAAAACTATTGTACTCATTTAAACATTGAGCACGACGGTTTTTCTTCATCTTGATTCCTCCTTCCAGCTGGTTTGCCAGTTGATCCAACAGATCTTTGGCAGATTCACAAGCGTCTAGAGATTGAAAAATCTCATTAGGAAGGGCCATGATCAAAAGCCTCTTGGCTTTCAGGTCCACTTCCACTCTACGCTTATCCTCATCATCCCAATCTCTACGAAGCTTGGGAACTCAACTGGCAGGTACTTCGACCATGTCACCAGTAGCAGGAATGCGGGGAATTAGAGTAGTAGGTACAGAAGGGCCGTTCAAAATTGATTCTTAAAGTTCAAACTCAAGACCTTCGTAAACATTTATCATTCGTATTTTCCATTGGGGATATTCTTCCCTAATGAGTGTTGGAGGTTTTGTTAGAGATCCAACGCTATACATGGAGTTCTACGATTGACTAGACATTTTGTTTACGGATGTTTGATTTGAAACATTGACTTGAAGGCGATAGACTGATTTCCAGAATACTAAAACCAAACGTTTTTAAATGGATCAAAAATAAGAATGAAATTCCTTTTTTAAAAACGAATAATTAAAAATTAAAAGAGGTATCCTGATGGATATAGATCGACTAATCAATAAATTTGATTAGTTGGCTCTGATACCAATTATTGGAACACAGATACTCTTAATTTTCAGAAAACACAGTTAATGAAGAATATGAATGAAATAAGAATAGTGTACTGAATTGATCAAACGAGATATTCAACATATATATGAACACTAAAAGACTTTGAATATGTCGGATGCTTTTAGTAGATGAAAATAAAATTATCGATCTAAAACGTATTCTCACAAGAACTCGCTATAATCTAAGTTGACACTTTTAGGTAATTTGAACCTGAGAAGGATGCCTCCTTATATACTCCTAAGTTAAACAGATTATGCTAGAAATGTGGCTTGAAATTCTGATCGCTGAATCCGCATGCTTATGGTTGACTACCCTTGAAAAGTGGAGCGAACTAAGTCAAGCCGCCTTAAATCTTGACGCTTGCGAGAATATCTGGACTATGCGCGCATTCCATGGAGTTAGGAGACCAGAGGCTCTGCACGTACTATGCAGAAGCTCTGAGTCTGGAGTTGTAGCTTCGCATCAAGCGCTTAAGATTTTTGGCGCTTAAGACTTGATCGTCCAAGGAATTGAGCGCGGGCTCTGTATGTGAGATCCTTGACTCTTTGAGTAAGAGCTCTAGGTCTTAACTTCTTCTGCATGAGAGCTCTTAGTCCAGACTGCTTCTAAAAGTCCTATAGACTAGAGTAAGAGGCTTCTTACTTACACTTTCACAAGATAGGGTCTAATAATCCCTGGTGATGAGCATTGAGATTAGAACTCCGCCGTCTTTCGTC